GAAGACCATCGTTTGGTAGAAACAGGGGTCGTTACAGAGGCAATAACTATTTTTCAACTAGAGGAAGAGGCTTTCCTCAACACATCGCTTCAGCGTCCTCATCTAGATCCTCTGTGTCTGCAGACAGTGAGCCAAGACCTGTGTGTCAAATATGTGGAAAACCAGGACATGCTGCGATCAGGTGCTGGCACAGGTTTGATAACTCGTATCAAGAAGATGATGTGCATAATGCTCTGGCTGCAATGAGAATCTCAGAGTTTGTGGATGCTACTGGTCATGAATGGTTTCCAGACACAGGGGCCTCTGCTCACATTACCAACTCAGCCAGACATCTGCAACACACTCAACCTTATCAGGGGTCAGACTCAGTCATGGTAGGTAATGGAGAATACCTGCCAATAACTCACACCGGTTCAGCAAGCATAGCATCTTCCTCAGGTAACATCACAATGAATGATGTCGTGGTGTGTCCTAGAATTGCTAAACCGCTTCTATCTGTCTCTAAGTTCACAAAGGATTATCCATGTTGTTTTAACTTTGACTGTGATAATGTCCTTGTGTGTGATAAGGGAACCAAGAAGGTTCTTCTCAGGGGAAGAAACACTAATGGTCTGTATAAGTTGCGAGCTCCAGTGTTGCAGGCTTTCTTCACAACAACTCAAGTGGCAGCGAGTGATGAAGTTTGGCACCAACGTCTGGGACATCCGAATCCTCACCTTCTTCAACTCCTATCTTCTACTAGGGCTATCTTAATCAATAAAAGCTCCAAGTCTGTTTGTGAAGCGTGCAAGCTTGGTAAGAGTGCTAGACTTCCTTTCCCTGCATCGAAGTTCTCTGCATCAAGACCACTTGAACGTATACACTGCGACCTCTGGGGGCCTGCTCCTGTCACCTCTGTCCAAGGGTTTCAGTATTATGTAGTCTTCATTGATAACTACTCTAGATATAGTTGGTTGTATCCATTAAAGAAGAAATCGGACTTCTTCTCTGTCTTTGTTGCATTTCAAGCTTTAGTTCAGAATCAGCTTTGTACCACCATTGGATCTTTTCAATGTGATGGAGGAGGTGAATTTATAAGTAATCAATTTCTTCTCCATCTGTAACAACATGGTATACAACAACTTATATCTTGTCCCCACACGCCGCAACAAAACGGATTGGCCGAACGAAAACATAGACAGGTGGTGGAAGTTGGTCTCTCGTTGATGTTTCACAGTAGAGTACCACACAAGTATTGGGTTGAAAGCTTTTTCACAGCAAATTTCCTGTGTAATTTGCTGCCTCATAGTTCTGTGGCTGAGTCAAAATGTCCGTATGAAGTTCTGTTCAAGAAACGACCTGTCTATTCATCACTGAAAGTGTTTGGGTGTGCGTGTTATCCTACACTAAGAGATTATGCCAAGAACAAATTTGATCCACGATCTTTAAAGTGTGTGTTCCTTGGATACAGTGACAAGTTTAAAGGTTATCGATGTCTATTGCCATCCACGGGAAGAGTGTATATTAGCAGGCATGTGAAGTTTGACGAATCAGAATTTCCTTTCTCTGGTGTTTACAAGCACCTGCAACCTCCTGCTGCAACTTCTTTGATGGAAGCGTGGCACAGAAGCTTTCCGGTATCATCAACTTCTGAAGAAAACTCCACGGAGCATAATGACAGTTTAGACGAATGTCATCAACCTCTCACAGTAACAAGAAGACTGTCACTTGTACCGAGTCTCTCCACTGACCAAGGAAGATCGCAAAGTGCCAGCTCAAGAAGCTTGTCTATGCCGGTTCAAGAAGTCACAGTTCAGACTTCTCCGACAAGTCAAAACAGTTCAGTGTCAGATGGAGTGTCTGAAGAAGCAGTCACAGGGGAAATGGTATCACAGACAGCCACTGTGGCTGAACCTAGTCACAACATGATCACAAGATCTAAAGCCGGGATTACTAAACCTAATCCAAGATATGCTCTTATGTCTTCAAAGGTGAAGTGTGAGCTACCTAAGAATGTTGCCGAGGCTCTTAAGCATCCAGGCTGGAATAAATCAATGAAGGAGGAGTATGACAACTGTATGATTACGAAAACGTGGTCACTGGTGCCTTATACTAAAGACATGAATGTTCTTGGCAGCTTGTGGATTCACAGAATCAAGATGAATGAAGATGGTGAAGTAGAAAAGCTCAGATCACGGCTTGTAGCTCAAGGATGTGGTCAAGAAGAAGGAGTTGACTACTGGGAAACTTACAGCCCTGTAGTCAGGACAGCTACAGTCCGAATGATACTACACACAGCGACAGTAATGAAGTGGGATATCAAGCAGATGGACGTGTCAAATGCGTTCCTTCACGGTGACTTGACTGAAACCGTGTACATGAGACAACCAGCGGGCTTTGTTGATCACACAAAACCAAATCATGTTTGTCTTCTGCATAAGTCTTTGTACGGATTGAAGCAATCACCTAGGGCGTGGTTTGACAAGTTTAGCTCATTCTTGCTGGAGTTTGGCTTCAGGTGCAGCATAAAAGATCCGTCGTTGTTTGTTTACTCCAAAGGGAAGGATGTGATGATGCTGCTTTTATACGTGGATGATATGCTGATTACAGGCAACAACTCAGAAGCTCAGCAACGGTTTCTACGTGACATACATGTTCAATTTCGTATGAAGGATCTTGGTCAAATGAAATATTTCTTGGGAATTCAAGCAATCTTTCATGATTCTGGTTTGTTTCTGTCTCAGGAAAGATATGCGTTGGATCTCTTGGCTGTGGCAGGAATGAGTGATTGCAATGCAGTAGCTACACCACTGCCAATTCAACTCAACAAAGTTCCTGATCAAGATCGTTTGTTTGAGGACCCTAAATATTTTAGGAGCTTGGCAGGAAAGCTACAGTACCTGACTTTGACAAGACCAGATATTCAGTTCGCCGTCAATTACGTGTGCCAAAAGATGCATGCTCCCACCGTATCAGATTTCAACTTACTAAGGAGAGTGTTACGATACGTTAAAGGAACAACCAAGCTCGGCATCAACTTCAGTCATCAAACGGATTTCACTCTGAGGGCATATAGCGACAGCGACTGGGCTGGTTGTTCGAGTACACGAAGATCAACAGGGGGCTTCTGCACCTTCCTTGGAAATAACATCATCTCGTGGTCCTCTAAGAAGCAACCGACAGTGTCACGTAGCTCTACAGAGGCAGAGTATCGTTCTTTGTCGGAAACTGCTGCAGAAATGAGTTGGGTGTGTTCAGTCATGAGAGAAATTGGCGTCCCTCTTCTCCAGACTCCAGAGTTGTACTGTGACAACCTATCGTCAGTACACTTGACAGCGAATCCAAGCTTTCATAAACGATCAAAGCATTTCGAGCTTGATTACCATTACGTTAGAGAAAGAGTCGCGATGGGAGTTCTCTTGGTTAGACACGTTCCAGCATCTCAGCAACTTGCGGACATATTTACGAAGTCTCTCCCGTATCATGCTTTTGATAATCTTCGATACAAACTTGGCGTATGTTCTCCACCTACACCAAGTTTGCGGGGGACTGTTAAAGACGTCAAGAGAGGAACAGAGCAGAACGACAGCGTTTCGGATAAAGGAAAGAGTGTGATGGGCTGCGGAGTGTTAGAGTCCAAGAGACAAAGAGAAGGCCCAAGTCCACACAGCAAAAGTGCTTTCCCCGCGCAACGTTCGGATTTCAAAGATGGAGAGAAGGTGGTCAAAAGCAAAGTACAGATGACGCCATTGTGCAGAAACGTTAATGGAGTAGAATTGTACAATCGATTCTCTACCCTTGATTCGGAGGAAGAATAGGATGGTGCCATCTGTCTAGGAAACATCTAGGGTTTCATCTCTTTGTATAAATGAACAACCTTTGTAACAAACCTTCTTCAAGCAATGAGAATGAAATTTCAGTAAAACACAAATTTTCATTAACTTCTTTACTTTCTAAGTCAAGAATACATTTAAAAAAGTAGGAGAGAACTTTTGTTTCAGGCAGCCAGGTATGGTGGAATTGTCTGCCATTACTTCTCTTGCGCTTTTTGCAGAATCATTCTATTACTAGTACTATTATAATATTATTCTCATCTATCTCTATTTCTAACCTTTTTACGAGCCTGACGTCATTCCTGACATAAATGTTTGTTCTATATTTCTCACTTTCCCACGTATATGCTACTAACTACTTTTGTAACAAAATGAAGAAGATTACTACTACTTGCAGTTTTATTCCAAACATTGATGCGACAATGACTACACACCATTTCCTCTAAATCATGCGAGGCGCTACTAAAACATATTGATGAATTTCAATTGAAGATACAGACGAATGAAAGACTGCTTATATTTTTTTACAAAAATCATAAAAATGGACTCATCTGATTTTTTTGTTTCAAATTATACAATTTGAATATGGTTGTTTCAAAATTAATCTTTCATCAATATATATGTTGAGGTGAATATTTATTATTTCTATATGAAACGGAATGAGACTATTATAGCACTTATTTTCACTGATTGGTTTGGTTATCTTTGTCGTAGTTCAACTATAAATTGACATGTTTTTTTTTGTGTGTAAGCAAAAGAAAAGCCACTAACTTGTTGGAGAATTATGCATGACATGTGTCAAATTGACCTGCATCCTTGGCCAACCAGTTTCAAACTACATCAATTCCAATGGATCTTGAATTTGGAAACTTTCAAATATTTCAGTCTACTTACGAAGCTATTAATTATTAGCCCATGGGCCTAACTATCTAAGAAAATGCACAAATGAGACGCAACATATGAAAAACAGAAGTCGTTTGAATCAGGATTCGGTATAATGTGGTTTTAATAAAGTCCCTCACAAGAAACTTATAATACACTTTAGAATGTATATATGAATTAAGATGATTCAGAAACATTTTATATAAGCATCTCTTTTGATCTGGATCAAGTCACGGACTGTTCCTCATTTATAGCCACTAATATAACAAAGAAGACTAACAACTTATCTGACTTTTGCAAGCATTTATTAGTCACCAACAACCACCACTACACTCCACCAAAAATTATGCTCTCTTTACAGATTAAAACAAAAGGGACACTAAAGTGAAGTAACAAAGGCAGCAACAAAACACAATAATGAAGCAGTTGGCTGCAATCCTCACCGTGATAAGCTTGCTTCTCCTGGTTCATAGAGATGAAGACGTGGCTTCATCATCAGCTGTTGGAGATCCAGGGATGAAGAGAGACGGTCTCAGAGTTGCGTTCGAAGCTTGGAACTTCTGCAATGAGGTTGGTGCCGAAGCTCCTCACATGGGTAGTCCTCGTGCTGCTGATTGCTTCGATGTCTCTACAAGTAAGCTTTCTTTTTAACACTTCCTCCTCTGTTTTCTCATGCCTTCTCTGTTTTCTTTAAACCTAAAATTTGCGAGAAGGTGGTTATTCCTTGGAACACAAGGTATCAGACTCGGATAACAAGCTAGGGGTCGGTAAGAGTAAACCAGGAAACATATCAGAAGCAGCATTACACAACCCTAACCTTTACGCTGTCGAAAAAGAGCTTTACCTAGGCTCTCTCTGTCAAGTCCCAGACGAACCAAACCCATGGAGTTTCTGGATGATCATGCTCAAAAACGGTAACTACGACACAAAGTCCAGTCTCTGCCCTCAAAACGGCAAAAAGATCCCACCTTTCGATCAACCAGGTAAATTCCCCTGTTTCGGAACCGGTTGCATGAACCAACCGGTGTTAAACCATGGGAAGACTCAGCTTCTAAGTGATGGTCACACCATGAAGGGTTGGTTCAATGGAACGTACGATCTTGATGGTGATGGGGTGAGTTATTACGAGGTTGTGTGGGAGAAGAGAGTTGGTGTTGGTGGATGGGTGTTTAAACATAAGGTCAAGACTTCATCAAAGTATCCATGGCTTATGCTTTACCTTAGAGCTGATGCAACTAAAGGCTTCTCTGGTGGTTACCATTATGACACTAGAGGAATGCTCACAACAGTAACAATCACTAAACCTTTGTTCTTGTCTAAACATCTTTTTTTTTTATTTGTGTTTAATTATGATGTGTTGTGTTTTTGTTTTAGCTTCCGGAGTCACCAAACTTCAAGGTGAGAGTAACTCTAGACATCAAGCAAGGAGGTGGACCCAAGAGTCAGTTTTACCTAGTCGACATTGGAAGCTGCTGGAAAAACAACGGAGAGCCTTGCGACGGTGACGTGGCAACAGACGTCACTCGTTACTCGGAGATGATCATAAACCCTGAAACAGAGCTTTGGTGCAACCCCAAGAGTCTACACAACTGTCCACCCTACCACACGTTTCGAAACGGGACTATAGTCAACCGTACGGAGAGTCAGAGGTTCCCTTACGAGGCTTACCACGTGTACTGTGCCCCGGGAAACGCAGAGCATCTTGAGCTCCCGGTGGGGACTTGTGATGCTTTTAGCAACCCACAGGCTCAGGAGATTCTTCAGCTTTTGCCTCACCCGGTTTGGGGTGAATATGGATACCCGACACGGAGGGGAGATGGTTGGGTGGGTGACCCGAGAACTTGGGAGCTTGATGTTGGTGCTTTGTCTAGTAAGCTTTACTTCTACCAGGTGACTTAAACTGATTCACTAAACCGGTGTGTTCTCCTACTTTTTCTTTTTTCCGGTTTAGGTTTTGATTATGGTGCGGTCTGGTAATGTTGTAGGATCCTGGTACGAGTCCAGCGAGGAGGATATGGACATCTGTGGATGTTGGTACAGAGATTTATAAAGATGATGGAGCAGTTGCAGAATGGCATCTTTCTGATTTCAATGTTCTTATTACTTGATTTAACTCTTTATTATGTTCTTTCTTGAAATTTTTATTTTAGTGTTTCCTAAATTTTTCATTTTATTAAACTAAACTATCTATAGCAAAACAAGCATAAACAATACTAAGTCCAACCTAACCATATAATATAATAATATTGAAGCTGTATCATACTAATTAAAATATAACACTATTCATCTGGTTATAACTTCTTTCAAAATGAATTATGATGTACAGAGGGATTATTCTTGTAGTAGTAGTACCAGAAAGATGAGAGCAAATGTACTGATTTTTCTTTTTTAAAAGTGTACTTGAGATGTGATTGGGTCCTACCACGTGGCAGCTTAATAATTTTCTACCTTCCGATTAGCCAATGTCCAAACACAAAAAAATGTCGTATAAATAAAGTACAACCACCTAGAAGAGGTTTTGCAATACAAAACATAAAATAAATAAATTTTGTGTACTCTTTAGCCTAAGCTAGATGGCAGTACAATAGTTTCCAAAACGAGGAGTACAAATATCTTTGTGTAACGTCTCGTGTAGTACATCAAAAACAACACGGTTCCAATATCTATATAAACCTATTATGTCATTAAAACAGCATCACCAAATAAACTCAAGGAACTTGCCAAGTTCAAAGGTAAGCAAGCAATAAGACTTTCTGGCAATGAAAATAAGAAGACAAATGTGGTAACCAGAGAGAGGCAGGGAACAAGCAGAGCATGGATTGAGTTTCACCAAAACATCAAATGACTATGTTTGGTCTCTTCCCATGCACTGCCTCTTCCCTGGCTCCCTCTTTCTCTCCCTTCTCTTTTTTGTTTCTAGCTTTCTTTCAATGTTTTTTTTATATTTATTACTACTGCTAACGAGCTTTTGACTTCTGGATTTGGTATACCTATGTGTTCATGAAGTGGAGCTGAAAGAAGCAATGGCATCCATCTCTTGGCGCAAGAGGAGAGCGTCGATGAAGGTGTCTAGATTCTCTCCTTCCATCATGTCTTCAATGGCATGGTGAGTGATTCCCACACGGTGATCCGTGACTCTCCCTTGTGGAAAATTGTACGTACGGATTCGTCCAGATCGGTCTCCACTGCCAATCTGTTCACATGATTATACATCTATTAGCTAAGAAATAAAATGATGTACATAAGAAAAAAATATGATTGTTAATCACATACGTACCTGTTCAGACCGTAGCTTTGACCGGCTGCTCTGTAATCTCAATCTTTCAATCTCATAGAGCTTTGCGCAGAGTACTTTAAGCGCTTTGGCTTTGTTCTGTTATATTGGAAGTTTATTTATTTAGTAGGATGTAGGAGTTTGAAGGAGGGGTTTAAAGTGTTTAAAACTACCATATGTTGTGATCTTTCGTCTTGGATGGAGACCATGATCCCAGTTGGATGATGGATTATTCGGACTGCGCTGTTGGTTGTGTTGGCATGTTGGCCACCGCAGCCACCAGACCTGTATGTATCAATCCTCAAATCTTCATTCCTTAGCTGAACATCTACCTGCATGCAGCCAACAATAAGACACATTAATTAAATAAAATGTGAGTCTGTAATACTAACCGATAAAGAAAAGATAATAAAAGGCAAAATGTGAAACTTTGTAAGATTGGAGAACCTCATCAGCCTGGGGAAGGATGGCAACAGATACAGCGCTGGTGTGAATACGTCCAGATTTCTCTGTAATAGGAATACGCTGTAGAAAGATGTTTAGATGTTAAGACGCCATCTTCATATAAAAATGTATGGAGAGTAAAGAAATTTATAAGATACCTGAACCCTGTGAATTCCACTCTCGAATTTAAGTTTTCCATACACACTGGCTCCACAAATTGCAGCACTGGCTTCCTGTCAATTACATGTAAAATCTTAGCTGCTGCACTAACGCAGAGCAATAGTGGATACCCAAACAAGGAAAAGCGAGAAAGAAAGAAAACATACTTTATAACCTTTCATATCAGACTCGGTGATGTCTACAATATCAAACTTCCAACCTTTCTTCTGAGAATACCTTTCGTACCTATCAATATTCCCAATAATATATAAAAGTTGAGGAAGAAAGATACAAGCTTCTGCCTGCAGTATAGCGAGGGATGAACTTACATTCTGAAAATGTCCATGGCAAACAAAGAAGCCTCTTCTCCACCAGTACCTAAACCCAATATATTCACTTGTCAACTACACACAGCTTTTCAACATTCATGGGTAATGTTCAAATAGTTGATAAAGCCCTACCTGCTCTCACCTCCAAAATACAATCCCTCTCATCAGCTTCATCTTTAGGAAGCAAAGACTTAAGCAGCAAAGTCTGAAGCCTTTTTTCCTCGTCCACCGCTTCATCTAATTCACTCACAGCCATATCAAGCATATCCTTATCATCAGCACTCTCTGAGACAAGAGTCTTCAGCCCATCAATCTCCTACCAAAACGAATTACACCTTATGAATAATGACGCCTTGCTATAGAAGAAGAAGAAAAGTCAATTTACCTTTTGTATAGCCCTCAAAGAAGTGATGAGCTCCATAGAGTCTCTAAGCTTCCGAAGCTCCTTGTTAGCTCTTGAAAACTCTTCTTGTGAATACTCAGGCTGTCTTCAATCAACATAGGTTTTTTTTTTTTTTAAATAGCTTCATAACAACGATGGTTGATTTTTAAATTGGATTACCTGGTTAATTAGCCTCTGGAGAATAGCATTACGGTGTTCAATCGCCGAGAGTCTCTGATCCATTATCTTAATAAGATCTGGAGACAGCTGAGGTTCCACTTCTGCCAAATTTCAATCATTACCAAAAACTCAAATTCAGACAGAACCACAGAGTTCAAACTAATGGAGAGTGTAATAATCCAGATTTTGTCTCTAAAACTTGTAAAATTTTACCAGTGGAGTACAGACGAAACATCTTCGACGAGAGAGATGATGACATGGTACGATCAAATGGATGCGTAACTCTCGAGCAAGACCGAATCAGATTACTCAGAATCATTGGCCGAAACATCCTCCTCATGCTTTATCTTTTAAGCAGTTATTGTAGGAGTTTTAGTGTATATTCAGACCGAACGGTGGAGATAGAAAAGACTTTAGCCGGAGCTAGTGACGTTGGTTTTCTTTCGACGCCGTCGAGAAAGAGATGAAATGAGAGAGAATCATGGAACAAGGAAGAGTGTTTTGGACATCTATTGGGCTTTTCTGATACATCGGTTGGGCTTTTATGATACATCGGTTGGGCTTTTCTGATACATCTATTGGGCTTTCTCTCTAATTGGTCCATAACTTTACTAAACTACGAAATTAGGAAAAATCATTATGTATTTTAGATTTTTAGTTAACTATTATACATAGATACAATATAATAGATATAAGTTTCATATTTTGGAAAATAGACAAATAACAAAACAAGCAACATAAATTTTCAACTTTTTTTTCAATACGTGAGACAAACAAAAAGCGAATCTTACAACTTTTTTTATCGAAAAGGTTTGTTTCACCCTTTTACATGTACACAACGTACTAGTCTTTTATTTTATTTAAATGATTTAAAAATGTTTTTATAATCCAATCGTGACAGGCACGTTAGCTTCTTGGATCCAGTTAATGGGAGCTAACCAGTTAGCCACAGTGAACTGATTAACCTCACCAGCTGTCCTAGCGATCTTAGCCCAGTTAACTCTCCTGTTAGTGTTAGCTCCTGGTCCACGGTTGTTGTACTCAACGTACCTACATGACTTGTGGAAGCTCTCTCCATCCCACATCCTCCATCCTTCTGGTCTTATCACATCTCCGATCTCTGTGCTAATGAACACGGTGGTCGAGTACTGCTTCCATGGCCTTCCCAAGTATGACTCAACGGTCAACCTCTCTGCCGCTAGCTTCTTGTCGGGAACGATGCGGCAGTTTTGGATGACGATACCGATTTTCATGGATAGACCCTTTTCGTTTCCGTCGGCTGTGATCGTGTTGTATTGTCCCTTGTTTCCTTTACGGATGACAATGAGCGAGTTTTGGATAACGGTGGCGGATTTGCCGAAGATGAAATCGACTGTTCCTGAGACGACGCAGTTTCTGTAGAATTGACGACCGTTGTTGACGTATAGTGTGTCTTGGTAACCGTCGAATCTGCAGTTGAAGATGACAGCACGGTCTCCGTTCACTCTGATAGCCACGGCTTGGTGTCCGTTTGGACCGGCTGTGTTCTTGAATCCGATCCATTTAGCCATGAATCCTTCAGACTCGACCTCTATAAGAATGCATAAAACACGTTATATATGAGTTTTAGTAGAGAATAATAATATTTCTAGTTTCCTAGATTTTTATAGATAGATTTTTATAGATAGATTTTAATTTCTAAAAATTGGTATAGACATTGTCTAGCAATTCGTCTAGGCACTAATCCTCTATAAAACATTTAACTACCATTTAGTGATTTATTGGATATTTGAGTAAAAAAACTAGTAGATTAAGGGTTGGTGAGACTTACGGACTGTGCCACTAAGAGAAGTGGTGGTTCCAGAACTGAGACCAACACTTCTGTTGTAAGTGATAACGGTCTTTCTTGCACCATCTCCGAACATGAAGATGTTGTTCTTCTTCTTAGGGATGATAACTTGCTCTCTGTAGATACCAGCCTTGATGTGGATGATGCATCTCCCTACGTTTTTGTCGGGACAAGCATTAACAGCTTGTTGAACTGAATTAAACTGTCCGCTTCCATCCTTAGCCACCACATAGGTTGCTCTGATTCTAGCACCGCCACCGCCTCCTCTTCGGCCACGTCCAGCGTTAGCCATGAGCTTCCTGTCTGCACCTGAAACCCATGTTGGGACTCCAACATCGTCAAGGTCTTCAAGAAGACGACGAGAAGGACCGTCTGGGTCGGCCACGGGAGTGTCAACAGGAGTGGCTTCTTTTTTGTCGGGAGCTGATCCGGAAGGAGTGAAGATTCCACTTGTCATGTTCTTGAAATCATCGACTTTAGCGTTAATCTTGGCCATGGCGCTAACGACTGTGTGGAAGATGTCAATAGCGTTACCAGTAAGAATCTTGGAGGTTGCAATGCCTTCAGCAATAGTCTTTCTCAAATCATCTTCTTGAATATCGTCAAGACAATCGGTTTGGTAATTGTAAACACCGGTTAACCACTGTTTAAGCTGGTCGAATTTGCTACCGATCTGGTTAAGATCTTCACCCATTTCCTCAACAATGGTACTGAGGTCCTCAAGCGCGTACATGAATACTTTCTTGCAGTAATCAAGAACGGCTTTGTTGTTTGGGGAGATGCTTGAACCCAAGTTGCCTTCAGCTTTGTCAGTGAAGTTTGATGATTTGGTTAATGCATCTTGTGTAGCGAGTATGAAGGCCTTGATCAGTTTGTTTGGGTCATCGCTCTTGACAGGCTCGAGAGTTTTAACACATGAGGCTTTGTCAGCAGTGGCTTGGCAAATGCCTTGAACAGCTTTCATCTGTGGAGACAAATTAGTGTTGCCGCTTTTATTAACAATGGCAACGACTCCAATGGCTACTCCAACCAATAGAAGGACGGAGGCCACGGAGACAACAACTTTTCCAATCATTTTTTATTTATTTATTTTGTGTATTTCTGATTTTTTTGAATTTTTTTTCTCCCTCGTTTGGAGGTTAATCGGAGAGGGAGGGGCTTTTATTAGAGAAAAGCCAAGTTATTTAATGACTTGGGCCAGTGTATATTGTGGGGGATCAGGAGGTTTTTATAGAAGCTTTTTGGTTTCTAAAATTAGGGACGTTGCATGGATTTTGCATGGAGGGAGAGAATTATGGTGGATGAATGGCTGTGAATATCTGGTTAAAAAAAGCTTTGTTAATTTAGCTTCTGAGACTACGAAAATTGCTTAATTGTGAGGTTTATAATTAGTCAATGCAGGATAAATATAGCTTAGGCTCCTAATTAGAAGGTGTGGTGGCTTGATTGACAATAACATATATATATATATATATATAAATATATAATCACAAACCTACGTAGTTTCTTAGATGAGAGGTTTAAAATTCTGCACGTGGCTTGATTTAACACTACTTAACAGTAATCAATTGATACTTAGGGTTCATGTAATATCAGAAGCCTTATACGAATAAGAAACCGATATAACTATATAATAGAAGGGCTACGATATGTATAAAACCCAATAAATAAAGAACAGTTCACTCTTGCTTTTGTAAATGGACAATTCAAGATTTGAGACCACATACGAAAGTGTTATGAATTGATAATGTTACTAGAGCAAAAATCCGATTCCGGCAAACAAATTATCATGTTTGGTGAGTCTTAAGTCTGCAATGACGTGGCTCAACAATGTTAATTAGTCGGATCAGGCCAGTAAATATCGAACCAGTACTTGAACATTTCAAAGCATGTTTCAGTTGTATTTAATCTGATTGATTAGTTGGTGTGAGAAATGTATGAACCAAATAATGTCTAAGCAAATATAAAGCTGCTATGCATATTGACTCTGATTAGCATGAGAAGGAAACTTTTTTTTCAGGTTAAGAAGGAAACTTTATAAAAATATTAATTATTCAGAGATTGGCTCTCTCACCACCGCTAATGATTTAAGTACCTTTTGCAGCTATATGAAAACGGAGATGATCCAAATTTGCCAAACCCATCGGATATATCTGAAAATGGAGAACAAGATCAACATGAACCTGTTGGAAATGATGTTGGAGCTATTAGTGCATTCACATATGGGGTTTTAAGAACTCATAGAAGAATTAATTACAACGAAACAAAACTAAAGGGTTGATAAAAGCTAGAAAAATCAAGGAATAAGCTATATACAAACTGAGCATGAAATAGATGTTTAAGGAGAGCTTAATTTCTATCATGGTTCATGTGACGTTAACAATAATGGAGCAGAAGAGGATTTGGATGATCCAGAAGGGGAGGGTTACTATATTCCATACATATTAACTCAACTAACACGTAAAGAACAATAAAATGTGATTATATTAAAATATTTGTATTATTTCAACGATCAGACAATTCATGATTCATTAGATGTGTACTGGTTAACTGATCATACGTTGGACTCATCTCTTTTTTGGTGTTCCGTATGGAATGATCGTACATTTCTAATCTTACTGATTTTTGGTTTAGGACTGTAGAGTTATGTATAGTGGAAGTTATATATATCTTGTTTTTTGGAACATGGGAAATGTGTGTTTATGTGATCTTTTAGCACTGTATGATTTATAAACAAGTTTTGTTCTGTGTTACTACTTGGTCAATAGGTCATAAAAAGAATGAGAGAGGCTTGTGGTGGAGCAAGAAGCATTGATGCGGAAACTATGATTCAATTCAGACTCAACTACTTAAGTTTGGTGTTTTGATTTACATTTGCAGTTTATCTTTTCGTTGTCCTTGAGTCAGTGACTTAGTCTTAGTCTTTTAATAACAAAGGAATACAAATGGTGTCTTTGTCATCGAGCAAAGAATTAAAACATGTTTGTATGCTTTAAGGAGAAAGAGGTTTGAGTGTTTTGGCACATCAAGCTTCTTTGATTAGAAAGTACACATGAAACTACATCGAACAAACTAATTTGCCAGCTCAGCTGGTTCTTCTTCTTCTTGAACAGCCAACTCGCCAGTTCTTTGCTTCCCCTGCTTTGTAATGTAACTCTACCGTGGCGTATCATAATCATGAGCATAGCCTATGTACCATTTCAATCCCATATTTTTCAGCTCCAACTAGAACCCTAAGAACAAGTTTATCGCGAACGCTTAAAAAGAGGATGCTTAAATTTTTTTTTTTTTTCTGATTAAAAAAAATTATTAAAATATAACCAATCGTGGGCCGTCACGTGTCGTGGGGACCGCGAAAAAGCTCAAACACCCAAAAGAATTCGACGTTTATTGGGGCATCAAAGGCGTCGGCTTTCGTTTCTTAATTGCCCCCCTCCACATTTTTCTCCCTAAGCACCGCGTTTTTTAACTGATCAAAGAAGCTTGCGGTTTCTAAATGATCAGGAATCACGTTGATCTTAAGATCAAAGTATTAGAACAGACTTGATAGTACATGTCAACACAATATATTTAAAATTTACATACATGAAGGTGAAAACATATTATATGCACCATAAATACATTATTAATAAAGTTTATTATTATTAGATAATCATATTTTTCCACATCCTTTCCAACCACGAGGGTCCATACATGATTATCTACAAAACATATTAGTTACAATCATACATCAAAAGAAACCTTTCTTTAAAAGATTCCTAAAATATCTAAAAAAAACCCCCAATTGATGCAAATTATTCATCACCATTGCAACGACATACAATTTTTTTATATAGTATTAATTATATAAATAAATCAATAGTAGTAAAAGGACAAAGGTGGTGGGAGCAACGCATCGGTATCTTTCTGGTTAAGTTTGGTCTTAATGTTGAGAGTGTTAAAGACTTTGCCCATTCCATCGAACACATCCAAAGACTCGCTACTCATTCTTTTCCCAAGCCCTATCCCTCCTTGAACCTCTTTCAACAACGTTTTGTCGTAGATGTCATCTAGACAACTCGACTGGTAGTTAAAGATCGAAGTCATCTTCTTCTTACACGTAAAGTAGTTATCAGCCATGCTTGTTATGTCTTTTCCCGCGGCTTTCCAGAAATCTGAAAAGTCTTCCAAGGCGTTGTTTAGCTGTTTCTCGCAACTGGTGATGCAAGTTGTGGCAAATTTGTCTCCCTTGTACTTGGGTTTGATTCCGGACAGGAACTTCAAACCTTTTTTAACGGAGCTCTCAGCAGCTGTGGCTAAGTGACGAACCAAAACGGCTGGATCATTGCTTGGGACGGTTTTCAAGGTTATGCTACAGAGACGTTTGTCTTGGACAACCCCGCATATTCCTGCGACGGCTTTTTCGTGTTCTGGTGTAACGGCGTCACGTTTGACTGGGACTACGATTGCGGTTGCGGTTAGGGCGATACATAGAATGAGAAAGGCGAGTTTTATAGGAGTGTTCATATTTTTTTGGTTTTTTTATTAACTTCAACGTGGATTGGAAAGGATTAGAAAAAGGAAGAAGGAAGGTTACGTGTATATATAGATGTTTATATGGTTTTGCTATATTTGGATTTTGTGGACTAATTTTCAAATACAAACTGGATGGTAATGCGTGAATTGTGGCGTTTGCCATGCTCTTTTTCTCAAACAGAAGCCTATTTCTTCATCCTTATTTTAAGACTCAGGTGAGGTGACACTTTTCTTATAGATATATTTAAGGAACATCCATAGCTCTTAACAGAAACGATTAATGCTATTTTATACAACATAAAATTTATAACAGTAAAATAAACAGGTAGAATGTTTATGATTCTTCGCTCTAAAAAACAACTTCAAATGAAAAAAATAATATTAGGCAGAGTCAGAAATTGTATGTGGACATAGTAGTTTAGTAGTAAAGCAAGAATCCAAATAACGGTAACGGAATTAATTTTGAAATGAAAATAAATAATAAGAGATTTTTCTATGCACACTAATAAGTTTTGATTACTGTATGTGTAAAACAAATATTCAAGTGGACGGCGGAGATATCAAATATTCTGGTGTTGGCTAATGTAATCCGTCCCCTGGAGCTGCGGCTCGAGCGTTCAACAAAGGTTGTAGAGCTTTGACAACAATACTCATATTCGGCCTAAAATCTGCTTCATACTGCACACACAACGCTGCTACCGCCGCTAACTGCATTTCATCATCCAACACACATATGGCATAAGCATTGAGAGAACGAGAGAATCACTTGGGATTAATAAAGAACATAGAGGTTAAGGTCAACGCATTTTTAGATTGTTTTCAATACCTTAGCAACAGCTTTTGGAGGGTAATCACCACCAAGTCTACCATCAACGCACTGTTTGACCTTGTCTTCACTCAGTTTAGGTGTTGCCTAAAGCATAAGTAACACAGTTTATATGGATTCAATAATGGAGATATAAAGATGAAGGCAAAAGATGTGTAGGGCTGAGATGAATTAGTACCCATGTGACTAGACTTTGCTGGCCTCTGGGTAATCTATGATCAACAGGTTTTCGACCTGTAAGAAGTTCAAGCAAGACAACCCCGAAGCTGTATACATCACTTTTGGCATTTAATTGACCCGTCATCGCATATCTGTTAAAGGGAAAAAAAAAGGAAGAGCATTTGAGACTTGAGAGGAGCTCACACTATTACGCTTTTTTGTTCACAAGAAGAAGCTGTGTCAACTTACTCAGGGGCATGGTAACCGAAAGTTCCAAGAACACGGGTTGAGTGAAGGCGAGCTGCCATATCAGGAGCTTGATTGGAGAGATCGAAGTCAGCAATCTTGGCAACATCATCTTCAAAGAGTAGGACATTGCTTGATTTAATGTCACGGTGAATGATGTGAGGATTTGCTTTCTCATGCAAATACTCAAGCCCTCTTGCAGCTCCAACTGCAATTTTGACTCGTTGATACCACGACAAGACAGGACCTGGCTGAGCTCCTTTCACGCCTTTTCTCCCTGAGGAATCATAAGCCAGATGTTAAAGTAAAGTAATGCCCACAGAAATAAATCTATGTAAGTGTGCGTGGACTAGTTTTTTTCTACTGTACCATGAAGAATGTCATGAAGAGATCCATTCTTGGCAAACTCATAGGCAAGAATCCTTGAATTGCCGTCAACACAGTAGCCAAGCAGTTGAACAAAGTTATCATGCTTCAGCCTAGACACCATGGAAACCTGAGCAAGCAGTGATAATTCCAAAGTTTAGCTACAATATTTGACATAACACATAGGAAACATTAATAATAGTGACTCTAGCAAACCTGGGCAAGGAATTCATTGTCAGGTTGTTTGTTAGAATCAAGCTTTTTAATGGCTGCAGGCTGCTGGTTAGCTAGCATCCCATAATAAACTCTTCCGTAAGAGCCTTCACCAATGAGAGAAGTGGATCCAAAATCCTCAGTTGCTTCCCTGAGTTCACTAACAGGGATGGTAGGTACTTCAATAGGCTGCACCTTCACAGCTGGAGCTCCCTTCTGTGCAGCTTCAGAGGCATGGTGCCTCCCATCATTTCCTGCACAAACAATACTCCAATAAGTAAACCAAAAAAACTTGCCAAAACCTTTATTTTTTCATCAAAAAAAGAAAGAACCTCCAAAGTGTTTAGCTGTATTGTGGCCACCGTAGTCAGCAGCAGCTTTATGCATATCATCTTCCTCGCAACATCCGAAGCAGCTCATTTTTCTTTTTTTCTTTTTATCCAATCTGCAACAGACACGTGTCCAATCTATTCATACATGATTTCAAACTCAAAATTCGAATTCACAATCACAGATACTACATTTACCGAATCACACTAGTAATTCAAATCTGACAAATGAATCTGCAAATTCAACGAAGCAATGAACAACTAGAAACTGGAGACTCATACGTTTCTATAGTAGCCAGAGAAAATCAATTTTCCAGATCAGAACAATAAGTAAGAAGATAAACTTTGTTACCTATGGAAGAAGATGATCGGAGCAGAGAGGATGAGTAGTAGAGAGAGAGTGTGAGAGAGAGGTTTCTTTCTCTGTGGAGATCTGAAAGAGAGAGTTTTGCGTTTCGATTACAGTGACAATCTTTGAGCGTACGGCGAAATTATAGGACTTAAAAGATAAATTACATAACGCGCTAACCTTTTTTTTTATTTGTATTCATATTTTTTCACTAGTATTAATTTATTAACTTTGACTGGATTTCAACGCTGTCACTTGACACCGTGTCACCGTTGGATTAGTTTGACAAAACCAAGATCCAACGGTCAGATTCCCACCTCATTTTCATTTGGCTTATTATTATTATTTATCTAATGAAATAGAAAAAAAATTAATACCGGAATTAACGTTTCATATCAACGGCGTGAGTTCCGCCGGCGGCCGTCATTCAACGACTTCGCAATTTTTTTTTTCTTTTCTGGCCGTTGGTAGTTGGGATTATTTTCCTTTTGTTTTCCGTATTATGTAGAATTATTGACTATAATGTCAAATTTTTATTTCATTACAATAAAATCTATCTTTTGCGACCAAATCTATATTCGTTTCCTAAATCATGTTGTATTCTTAAGATATTTGATTGTTTTCCTTAACGTGACAAAATACATTAATGTTGATAGAGAGAAGTCAAATAACTTCATTACACCTATACAATAATCACATTTTCTATATAGTTTCCTTTATAGTACCATCTTTTAGATACTCGTTCCGAATATCATTTTAGTTATAAGACTACGTATGCATACATATACAGCCTTTACTAGTTAGCTTTCCTATGTTTTCTTTTTTAAAGACTGGTTGGCTTAGCTTTCCTATGTTACGTATCATTTTATGTTTCCGCGTTATCTTTTTAATATTGATGCGTTTCTTTCATAAGAAACAACCAACAAAAATGTATTATTAAATGTATAAATGTGGGTTGGTGAGTTGTGGGTCGTTTATAGATGAAGTCGTTATCTTTGCATGTGAACAAAATATGGGCATGTTCGAGATGAATCATCATTATGGTGTTCTTTTGGTGTGACCACAGCATTATTTTAACACCATTTAATTAATCTTCCACCACACCATATGATCATTAGCCGTTTCAAGTATTTCTTTTCTTTTTAGGTTTATGAGAATTATTTGCCGAAACCTTGCCGCTGCGGTGGGTAGTGCTTTTCTAAATTCATAACATAATAATCGGCTCCTAACTCAAAATATACTTATTTTTGAAAAGTGGCTCGAGTTAGAAAGGAATCTCACATACAATCAATAACTATCAGCATCGTGATTATAAAAAAAATGTGGAACATCATACTTTCTCTCTATAATGAAAGTTGCTTATAATAATTGTGGAATGAGATCCGTTGAGATTCTAAAGCTATCAAGACGAGGAACATGGAAGCATATCATCTGACGCAGCGCATTGGATTCTCCCTTCTATTTCTCATGTGACTGGTCTCTTTTTGTACTCACACTATCAAACGATCGATTATTTTTCCAATATTCTACCTCAATTAAATGATTAGAGAGGTCCATCATAAACAAACAAGAAAGAAAACAAAACACAAAACGAGATTAACAACAAACAAAATCTATAATATATAAAAATAATTTAGGTGGGTTAGTAAGTGGGCCAGTAAAGCCCAGACCACATTGACCACATCGAGACAGAAGGTTGGCCCAGTCGGGTTCTTTTAAGTCAAAGTCAAACCGCGTTCACACAAACACACACCGACAATTTTATTTCTTTATCGATGAGCGATTATTACGGTTCTTCACTAGTCTCACTGCTGAAACACTCGATTTTTCACTCCCAACGAACTCACAACTAACTAAAAAGCATTATCGTACACCGCCCCACAGACAATAGCACCTGTAAGTGCACGAAACCGTCTCATACTCCGCGAGGCAGCTGATTATTGACCTCCCATTAGTACACAGGTTCACATGGGAGAAGAAATGAAAAGGAGGAGGTAGACAAAAGTCACAAAAGAATTAATTTTATGTCTTTTTATCTTATATAGATTTTCCATATTAAATTAGTAATATTTATCAGTGAAGAAGTGGTCCCACCACTAATTTTGTTTTGTCATAAAATTTTAATTTTCTTTCTGTACTAGTTTTGGTTTTCTGTCTCTCACTCTTTCTCTCCCCTAACATTTTGTACTACCCCCATTAACCATTACCATACATACAGACCCTCTCCTCCATCACGCCACAAAACGCATATTCACATAATCATCATCATCTTCTTCTTCATCGAAGGTGTATTCTGGAGTTTACCTTTTCTTTTTGTATTGATTGTTTTAGTGTTTGGACAGGTCAGTTTTTATCTTCTTGTTGTCGTGTTTGAAGAGATAGAGAGTGTTTTCTTTTTTTTTGGGGAAAAGGTCTGTGATTTATCTGTGTATTGAGATTCTGTGTGTTTGGGCTAATTGGAACCATGGATCTGTCTGGGGGGAAGAATCTAGATTGATTGATAAGAAGAAGCTTTAAAGTTTCTTTTTTTTTTACCTTTACGTTCGATCTAATAAGATCATATCTGTGTGATTTGAGACCAATTGGTTGAAGTTGTCTGTGATGGAAGCTAGAATAGAAGGTGAAGGTCAACATTTCTATGGGTATAGAGGCATGGATGTGAGGTCTGTAGGTAAAAGGGGTGTGGAGTGGGATTTGAATGATTGGAAATGGGATGGTGATCTCTTTTTAGCTACACCGTTGAATCCTGGTGTTAGCCAAACCATGGGGCGTCAGTTTTTCCCACTAGGGAACTCCTCCAATAGCTCTTCTTCTTGCTCTGATGAAGGGAACAATAATAATACAAGAGAAGTTGAGAAGAAAAGAAGAGCTGCTGCTACAGGGGAGGATAATAATAATAATGCTGGTGGTGGTGGGCTTAGTTTGAAGCTAGGAGACAATGGTTTTGATCTTAATGGTGAAAGAGAAGGGAGCTCTGCGGCTAAGAAGACCAAGTTTGGAGGAGGAGGTGTGTCAAATCGCTCGGTTTGTCAGGTGGAGAATTGTGAAGCTGATCTTAGCAAAGTTAAAGATTATCATAGACGTCATAAGGTCTGTGAGATGCATTCTAAGGCTACTAGTGCAGTTGTCGGAGGCATTATGCAGCGGTTCTGTCAGCAATGTAGTAGGTAATGCTTCATTTTCTCTAAAACTTGATGATTGAGAAAAAGGAAATAACTGTCATTTTTCCATCTCGCAGGTTCCATGTTCTTCAGGAGTTTGATGAAGGAAAGAGAAGCTGTCGTAGACGTTTGGCTGGGCACAATAAACGTAGAAGAAAGACAAATCCTGAACCTAGCGCTAATGGGAATCCTCTGAGTGATGATCATCAATCAAGCAATTTGCTGCTGATTAGTCTCTTGAAGATACTCTCCAATATGCATTGTATGTTCTCTCATCAAACATTTCAGTTCTGTCTTGTAGTTTTTGTGTTATTTAACTTTGTGTTCTGTTGTTTTAGCCAATGGATCAGACCATCCCGGTGATCAAGAGTTGATGCCTCATCTTCTGAAGAGCCTTGTCAGCCATGCTGGTGAACAATTAGGGAAAAACTTGGTTGAACTTCTTCTACAAGGAGGATCTCAAGCTTCGGGTTTGCTTGCAGTTGAGCAAGCTCCTCAAGAGGATTTAAAGCAAGCTCCTGAACTTCCTCGGCAGGAACTGTATGCCAATGGGAACAGATCAGAAAAACAAGCCAAAGTAAATGATTTTGACTTGAATGACATCTATATAGACTCTGATGATGGGACAGATCTCGAAAGATCTTCTCCTCCTACTACTAATCCAGCAACCAGTTCTCCTGATTATCCTTCGTGGATACATCAGACTAGTCCAACTCAGACAAGTAGGAACTCAGATTCGGCATCTGATCAGTCACCATCAAGTTCCAGCGAGGATGCTCAGGTATATATATGAATCTCTTACCCCATCCATTGCTGTCTGGATCCATTTGCCTCTCTGATAATAACATTCTTCTTTTTCTGGCTCCACCCTCAGATGCGTACAGGTCGCATTGTGTTCAAACTATTTGGGAAAGAGCCAAATGATTTTCCTGTTGTCTTGCGTGGACAGGTACATTCCTCAAGTTCTTGCTTTAGATGTTGAAGCTTCTTTTTACTGATGTGTTAAATTTCTTTGATATTCAGATTCTTGACTGGTTATCTCATACTCCAACTGACATTGAGAGCTACATTAGGCCTGGTTGTATTGTATTAACCATCTATCTTCGTCAAGCTGAAACTGCTTGGGAAGAAGTAAGCTCACTTTCTAATTTCTTTGACATTTCTTTTTTGTCTTGATTAAAACTTCCAGATTTATGAACTTGTATTCTCGTTGCTTTACAGCTTTCTGATGACATGGGCTTTAGCTTGAGCAAGCTTCTAGATCTCTCAGATGATCCTTTATGGACATCTGGATGGATTTATGTTAGGATGCAAAACCAATATGCATTTGTATTTGACGGTTAGTTTTGAGATTACTTTCACCACCAGTTGAAGATTTTATCTGAAATTACAAAGTATTTAATGTGAATTTTTGGGGTTACAGGTCAGGTTGTTGTTGACACTTCCTTACCGCTAAGAAGTCGTGATTACAGCCACATTATTAGTGTTAGACCTCTCGCTGTAGCTGCAACAGGAAAGGCTCAGTTCACAGTAAAAGGCATCAATCTCCGTCGGCCTGGCACTAGGTTCTATACCCTTTGAACTCTTGACCTTCCTTGTTTTTTTCTTCTTTCTTTTGATATCTAACAGTCTTTTTCTACAGGTTACTTTGTGCTGTAGAAGGAAAATACTTAATTCAGGAGACAACGAAAGAGAGAGACGATCTCAAGGAGAGTAATGAGATTGTTGAGTGTGTCAGTTTCTCTTGTGATTTGCCTTTAACAAGCGGTAGAGGATTCATGGAGGTGAGATAACTTCCTTTTTCTGGTCTCATCTGTTTATTCATTTGACTCAAGCTTGGTTGATGACTTTTTCAGATTGAAGACCAAGGACTCAGCAGCAGTTTCTTCCCTTTCATAGTGGTTGAAGAAGCTGACGTTTGTTCTGAGATACGTTTACTTGAACCCACATTAGAATTCACTGGAACTGATTCTGCTAAGCAAGCTATGGAATTCATTCATGAACTCGGTTGGCTACTTCACAAAAGTAAGCTTGGGGTAGCAGATCCAAATCCAGACGGTTTCTCATTACCACGTTTCAAGTGGCTCGTCGAGTTCTCAATGGACCGAGAGTGGTGCGCTGTGATCAGAAAGCTATTGAACATGTTCTTTGAAGGAGCTGTTGGTGACTCCTCCTCTGATGCCACGCTATTAGAACTGTGCCTTCTTCACAGAGCCGTCAGGAAAAACTCTAAGCCTATGGTGGAAATGCTCTTGAGATACGTTCCCAAGCAGCAAAGAATTCACAGCTTGTTTAGACCCGATGCTGCTGGTCCAGCAGGTTTGACACCTCTTCACATCGCAGCCGGTAAAGATGGTTCAGAAGATGTGTTGGACGCTCTAACAGAAGATCCCTCAATGGTGAGTTATCTCTTTTATTTTCTTCTGCCATGAATTTGATTCTCAGAACAAAAAAAAAAGAACTTATCTTTTTTATATTTGTTTCAGGTGGGAATTGAAGCATGGAGAACATCTAGGGACAGCACAGGCTTCACACCAGAAGACTACGCACGCTTGCGCGGCCACTTCTCATACATCCACTTGATTCAACGCAAGAACAATAAAAAGTCAGCAACCGAAGATCATGTCGTGGTCAATATCCCTGCTTCTATCTCAGAGAGGGAGCAGAAAGTACCAAAATCAGGTTCTTCAGCCTTGGAAATCACACATGCTAACCACCAGCTTCAATGCAAGCTCTGTGACCATAAACTGGTGTATGGGACAGCACGCCGGTCTGTAGCATACAGACCAGCTATGCTGTCAATGGTGGCGATTGCTGCAGTTTGCGTATGTGTGGCACTTCTCTTCAAGAGTTGCCCAGAAGTGCTTTATGTGTTTCAACCGTTCAGGTGGGAGTTGTTGGACTATGGAACAAGATGAGTGTTAAGTCTTTACGTTGAAGAATGAATAAAAAATGTTTACTTATATAAAGGTGTGATTTCTATATGTAACTATATGAGTATAAGATATAGATGCATGTTTGATTGAGAAGATTGTTGTTGTGTGTAAAAGCCTACCTTTTCACTCTTGAACCTGAGGATTCTCTTTCTGTATCTCTGATTAGTATATTTTTTTGTTGACATAATTATATTTTTGTACTTTTAACATTGGAGCTGATGTTGTACTAGTTTTTCTCTTCTGTTGCTTATGTTGTACTAGTTTTTTACTAAGATCATCTAGTTGACAAAGTCAAAACAGAGTTGAGAGCAAGCAAGAGTGACATATTCAGACAGGAACAAGATATCAAATCCAAAGAGTACATAACATCACATTAATAAAATATAAAACCAAGCAAGACCAAGAGTGAAAACCACAAAAGGAATTTAAAAAGAGTTTGAAACAACATAAACGTAGTAAAACAAATAAGCTGAATCTTCTTAAGCCTTCTCTGCCTTGAGTGGCTTAACAACCTCCCAGGTAAAGTCAGGATCCTCCCTGCCAAAGTGCCCATACGCAGCAGTCTTCAAGAACCTCCCATTGCCACCTCTAGTGAGGTCAAGGTTAATAGTCATCATCCCTGGCCTGAAATCAAAGTTCTCCTTCACAATCTTGAGAATGTCCTTGTCTGGAATCTTCCCTGTTCCATAAGTATCAACAAAAACAGACAACGGCTCAGGGACACCGATGGCGTAAGAGACCTGAACAAGAGCCCTGCGTGCTAGATCACTAGCAACAATGCTCTTAGCTGCTTGCCTAGCTATGTACGCACCACTTCTATCCACTTTAGAAGGGTCTTTACCGGAGAAAGCACCACCACCGTGAGCTCCCCAGCCACCATACGTGTCAATGATGATCTTGCGTCCGGTCAAACCAGCGTCACCATGTGGCCCACCAATGACAAACCTCCCAGATGGGTTAAGGTGAAAGATGGTTTTCTCGTCTAAGTACTTGGCAGGGATCACAGGCTTGATCACGTGCTCTTTAAGGTCACGTGCGATCTCATCGTTGGTGACAGTCTCATCATGTTGAGTGGAGATAAGAACAGTGTGCACACGGACAGGAACCATCGCACCGTTGTCATTGTAATACTCAACAGTGACTTGAGTCTTACCATCAGGTCTAACCCATGGACAAGTCCCGTTCTTCCTAACCTCAGTGAGACGCGCACCAAGCTTCGTAGCCAAGACATGGCTCAACGGCATAAGCTCAGGAGTCTCGTCAGTTGCATACCCAAACATGTGACCTTGATCACCAGCTCCAATCTCCTCAGGACGTTTTGTGAAATGACCGTGCACACCTTGAGCAATGTCGGGACTCTGTTCCTCGATGTTGACCAAGACTTTGCAGGTGTCAGCGTCTAGACCGACGTCAGCTGAGACGAAGCCGATGGCGCGACACGTGTCACGGACGATCTTCTCGTAGTCAACTTTGGCCTTTGTGGTGATTTCACCAAAGACCATGACCATGTTGGTCTTGGTGCAGGTCTCGCATGCGACTTTACTTTCAGGGTCTTGTTCGAGGCAAGCGTCGAGGACTGCGTCAGAGACTTGGTCGCAGAGTTTGTCAGGGTGTCCCTCGTTCACAGACTCGGATGTAAACAGAAACGACTCCATATCTTAACAAGCCTAATAATAACATTAAGATAAAAGATTAATGACTGAAACTCAACATCAAAGTAGAAGACTCGTTATTAATAGTAGATAAATAAGTCCTGATACAGATAATTATTAGTGTAACGTTAAAATCAAGATCAGTAACTGGAAACAGAGACTAAAATCTATCTTGATCAATGAATAGGACACAATCATTATTAAATAATTAGAGCATGATTAACCCGAGTTCTTAAGACAGGATTAATTAAAAAACTTTTCTTAACTTTTAACTAGAAATGCTAAGAACCATTCTTAGTGTTTTTAGTTTAAGAACATCGCCTTAAGAACTCCGGGTTAATCATAGTCTTAGTAGAAAGATTTAAACCTAATATAGTAGTTATATTTTCCCTGTCTAAGCCAAACAAAACAGCAAATGATTGGTAACAGATCTGTGAAGACAGGAGCATCAAACCATGTTTCAGAGCAAGAAATGAAAGAATAATCAAAAAGCCTAGAGAGACAGAGTTTGTGTACTGAAAGGAGAGAGAGAGATAAATAGGACCTGTGAAGAGAGAGAAGGAACAAATCTGAGCAGAGAACTGGAGAAGCAGCCGACACACACCAAAACACTGGACACAAGTTCACAACCCTTAACGGCGCTGCACGTCTTCCTTTTATACACTCTTCAATGTCTTCATTTATTTAGTTAACTGGTTACCGGCTTAATCGGTCGGATATTTTCTTTGTGGAATTTGCATATATTCATTTCCTATTAAGGAAAAAAATCAAAAACATTAATGGTTGGATTCTGTACACATAATCTATACAACTGTTTAGCTGGTATGTGCATTTACAGAATAATACGTCTTCTTTTTACTATTTCTATTTACCTTGTTGTAGTTTAATTATATTAATAAGGTATTCCAATAATTTGATTTACTAATTTTATAAGAAAATTAAATATATATTATATATAATTTAAGGCATGTAAAAATTTTACAATTATAATATATGGACTTACATAAATCTTTGTCAGCTGCATTATGCATAAAGAAGTTAATTTGTAGTTTCAACATGTAATTCTTTTTTTTTTTTTTTTTTTTTTGACAACAACATGTAATTCTTTCTAAAGTTAAGTATACTACAATTTTTTTTTTTTTAAAGCTTGTGAATCTAATTGGTTTATGTTTATGGTGATTTACAGTCGTTGGATGCAATATCTCAACGGTTGAGATCAGGGTAGTTGGTGATAGAAAATGACATTTACCAGTTTTTTTTTTTTTTTTTTGAACACTACATTTACCAGTTTCTATCCATTTTTTATTTGTTTGCATAATAAACAAACCAGTCAACCACCAACCCCAGCCGGTTGAATCAGCTTGACGTCGTGGAAAGGAATCCCATGATGCATGACACAGCACGTCACCAGTGTAAACTTGAATATCTTCTTTTTGCTTCGAAGTCAGTGTAAAGTAACTACCAGACACCAACCAAACCGTAGGCTAAACCGAAGCACTGTGTTTAAACCGATTTGAAGTGTCGTTCTCGCGGTGCATACCGCATACGGTACGGTTGGTGAGATTAGTGGTTTTTCAGCTCAGCAACCATCAAATTAATTTATAGCTCACCGTATTTTTAGATCCAAGATTAAGATGTTTCATTCTAAAAACACAAATAAAAGAAGATTACGATGTTTCACTTAATTTATAGCTCTGTTTTGGGATTTTATTAATAGCAATATTCATCTAACTTAATTTAACAAGGAATTCATCATTAGATATTTTTGTAAAAAAAAATATGAGTGCGGTGAGCGTGGATCGAACACGCGACCTTCAGATCTTCAGTCTGACGCTCTCCCAACTGAGCTATCCCCGCTTTGTTGTTAGCAATGTAAAGTTTTAGTTAATTATATTTATTAGGCTCTTGGTTCTTGTGTCTATTTTCACAATCATCGGGTTTCGTCATTCGTGTGTGTGTGACCAACATTCTGCTTGCAAACAGGTGAATTTACTGTGTAGTGATTTTCTTTTTCTAACAAAGACATGGATTCGTGTACGTGTGTTATTTATATATAGGCTTAATTATAGCAGTGACAAAAAACATTTGGTTGTAACAAAAACGATGTTGTTAGTCCATATACTTCAACATAAGCTATGTCACTCTACCTCAAAGAATGACACAAAACTAGCTTATGTGACTGTTGGATGATCTAGACTTGGTTCATCTTGTGCAATTAAAATCTGTCATATCAATAAATAACAGTTGTAACCGAAAGAATACTCCCGCGCGTTTTGAAAGCAATGCAGCCACATAAGATTTACATTAATACCTCTCCAAAAATCGTTTCTATAATAACCCGTGACTGCTTGAAAACTGATCATAGTTTCCATAATATTCATATCACGAGAGGAAACCCTAGGTAGGTAGGTAGGTAGGTTAAAAGAGAAGCTTATTAATTAGCGGCCGGGGTCTCTCTCTCTCTCTATAGGGTAGTAGCCACTCATATCGTCAATGGATGAGCTGAAGAGTCTAGAGAAAAACAAAGGTAAACACAACAAGCCGAAGCCATGGGACGTTGACCCAGACATGGACCGTTGTTTGGACCGTTGGGAACTCGAGAAGAAGTTCGATCCGTCATGGAACCCGACTGGTATGCTCGAAGTCAGCTCCTTCTCCAGAGTGTATCCTAAACGCAGAGAGAAGCATATTCTCAAGTGTTGGCACAGAGTCAAATCAGCTCTCAAGGAACACGGCGTCTCCTGCAAGCTCAACCTCGTTGAACGTTACATGACTGTTTCAACCACTAAGAAGACAAGAGATCCGTACATCATTGTCAAGGCTAGAGACTTGCTTAGGCTTCTCGCGAGAAGTGTCCCTTCTCGTCAGGCAATTAAGATTCTCGAAGACGACATGGCTTATGATATCATCAATATCGGAGTTTTTTGCCTCGAACAGATGTATACTTTCCAGCTGTCACATGATTGATAAAAGTACAGCAGACACGGTTATATATGTGTAAAATTTAGTAAGACTTTTTTATTTTTTTTTATTTTGCAGGTTGAAGTACAGCTGTCACAGCAGACACGGTTATATACCTCCAAATCATCATAGTTTCCATAATATTCATATTGGCCCGGCCTTAGCCTGCAATGCCAGATAGAACCAGATTAAATCATTCCAAGGTCAATCAAATTCACACTCATTAAAACAAAAATCACAGTCACCTTTGGCATATGTGACAGGTGTAATGCTCTCTAGACATATGAGTGTAAAGCTCATTGCCACCATAGAACGGACGCTTACAGAACTCGCACATAGGATGACCAGTGAATCCTCCTCTTTCACTCTCACTTCCATCAACTTCAGAGTCACCACTACTTATATGTTGATTCAGCTGATCCTTAGTAAACAGCTTCTGCTCACAAACAAATACCTGTCATAACAAAAAACACGACCTTTGTCCATAAGACATAAACCTCAGACCAAAGAGTGTGGTGTTAGTCTTACTCAGCCGCTGACCTTACGCCCTACAAGACATAAACTACACATATGCAATTTATGCTGATGGCTCAAGTGATCCTTCAAGTGTTCAACGCTCTTAAAACGCAAACGATGGTTAGATTTAGATCCCTTCTTTGACTTGTCACAGGAGGTGCAGGAGAGTCTACACATTGACTTAATCCTTGTGTACTGATTAAAGTCATCAAAGAAGACTTTGGTTTCTTCATGGTACCATAAGGATCCTCCTACACAACCTTCCTTTGGGTCTGACGGAAACGTCGAGAAATCAGTAATCGTCTTTGTGTAATCACCAAACTCCTAAAAATTCAGTAACAAAGTTGAGACCTTTATAGTAAAGGTGAAAAGGCGAAAGCTTTAGACTTTAAAGGTGATAAAAGGTGAGACCTTTGTGACGAAGACGAAAGGGCATTGGGTTTTGCAGATGCAGCAGCGACGATCGGCGAGAATGAAGCGGAGACGAACGACGCAGGTAGAGCAAACCTCTCGGTGGCCGCAGAATCCGTAAGCCACCCATTCTAGATTCTCTGCGCAAACGGCGCAGCAGCTTTCTTCCATTTTTTTTTTTTTTTGTCTCCTCCTCTGACTCTGACTCTCTCACTCACTACAAACTTACAAAGAAACTCTGTTGACGCACAGAGAAAATATTCCCAGGCTCTGAGATTCGAACCGACGCATTATATTTTAAGTTATTAAAGAATGCGAGAGGCACGGGTTCGCTACCCCGCATTTCCACTTTTTGTTTTTAATCTTTTCCGTATACAAATTACAAGCCCAGGCCCAATCTCTCAAAGTAAGCCCATTTGTTTGGAAGGAAAGGGTATATTTGTGGAGCTTAAAGGGAGGGGTGTAAGTCCACTTATAATTGGGTTTTAACTGCATAAATAAAACCAGAATGGTAGATCCTGTGTAGTTGTCATTGAGATGATTTGCTTACAACATTTGGTGGTAGTTCAGGGAGGGTGAATGAGAGATAATCCAAAGCCATTGCGCTTGTGTAATAACATTAGTCTAATTGATATATACACTGTGTTAGATTATTAATTCAACAAGGGGTTGTAGCTCAAATGGTAGAGCGCTCGCTTTGCATGCGAGAGGCACGGGGTTCGATCCCCCGCAGCTCCACTTTTTTATTGCATGCAACACAACCAGATGAATACATCTCAAATCTTGTCTGCAATGCAATCTTCACCATCTTATAATGTTGACCTTTAGAGTAATGTATTACAAACGGATTGTCAAACCGGATGAAACATTAATTTTGGATTTTTTTAATTTTTTGAAGAAAATTATATATGCATAGGTCTCAGAAAAAAAATTTACATCCCGAATTCATAAAAAATAAAAATTTAGTTGTAATCGTTTTAAACCTCCTAAATCTCATTGCTAATCCTCATTCCTTTTTTTTTTTGAACACCCAATATATTAGAAAGCAGTCCAAACTAAAACTAGTTGGCTGTAGACGAGTACAATGCTGACTTAGCGATAGAATCAGCGATACAATTCAAGTTTCTGGAAACAAAGGTAAAGGAGATACAATCAAAGGAAAGAGATAGTTGCTCGATATCCCGTGTGATTCCGTAGAGATCCGTCGGGTTGTATTTCGAGGAGATAAAAGCAACAAGTGCTTGACAATCTGATTTAAAACAGATTCTAGTAAAGCCCGCATCAAGGGCGTTAAGGAGGGCAGCTCGTATTGCTAACGCTTCAGCTACCAAAGGCGAGGAGACATGGAGTAAGGTTGCAGACCCCTGTAGTAGCCGTTCCTCATTCCAAACAACCATATAATGAGGCTACAAATTCCCATTTGAAATATGGAGGTAAAAATCATACAACCCTAAACTAATGTCCATCAGCTTTCGATTTAATATATAAACTTAATTCTCTTGTCGACTATTCATACAGTAAGATCAAGTTCTAGCCGATGTAAAGATTGTTTAGAAAAATCACTATTTCTCTTGATCTAGCCGATATAAAGATTGTTAAGAAAATCACTTATGTCTGACAATCTGACCCAATATGAACTATATGGGATACTAAACAAATGTCCCATATATGATTATGGATGATTTTACCCGGCCAGGTGCAGTAATATCATAAACAATTGTTATAAAATGCTTGTGGAAGTATCAATGGTTACAGAATTTGTTAACTAAAAAGAGCTAGAGCTATCAAGTATATGAAAACACATACTACTACTGATAAATATAAAGCGGAATGAGAAGGTCCATCATCTGATCAAACAATCAACCTTGTAAAAATAGTTGTTTAGTTTATTATCCTCGAGATCTGCAATAGGTTGGATAATGGGATCATGGATGCATGTTACCATATAAAAATGCAACATCCCACGTTTCAAGGCAACTTGCTACCTCAGAAACTACTCAATCCCCATGTATCCAAGTCAACTTTTGACCCAATAATTTTTAAAAAGCAATTTAATAAAAATAAAAACTCATCATCATGTGCCCAAGTTGTAAGCTACGACTTAACCACCGTGTAACCGCCGTCAACAGCCAGGTTCTGTCCGCTTACGTAAGCCGACTCATCCGATGCTAGAAACAGAGCAGCCTCTGCCACATGGCTAGCTTTCAACACAATGCCCTTTAGATTTGCCGACGCTAACGTGTTTTCCTCCACCACGTTAGGCTCTATCTTGAAACTGTTACAAACTAACGGCGTGGCCACCCCAAACGGAGCAACACCGTTTACTCTTATCCCGTATTTCCCCAGTCCACCAGAAGCTGACTTGATCAACCCTAATAAACCATGCTTCGAAGCCGTATATCTGTCATAAATATATCACACTTTAATAATGATAGCTAACTCATGGTGGCATGACCATAATATTACTAACAATACTACAACATTATTGTCTCATGTTGGTTGTGGCGGTCCACTAATTCATATATACTTTTGTTAATTAGTTGTGTAATAAACATTTTTCTTATTATTATTAGGAATATTGAGTTTATACCCGTGTGGTGCCGTCCCGGCTATCTCAGCGGCGACGCTGGTGGTGCAAATGATGGAGCCACGCGTGCCTTTCTCCACCATGGCACGTGCCGCGTGTTTCATAAATGCGGCTGCGCCACGGAGATTAACGGAGATTGTTCGATCTAACACGTCAAGATTTAGGTCGAGAATGCTTACGAACGGCTCTATAACGCCGGCGTTACTAAACAGAACGTCAAGCTTTCCGTGTTTGTCGACGGTGAACTTAACGGCGTTTTCTACTTCCGTCTCGTTTGTGACATCGCAATGATAGTAACTCGCCTTGTCTTCTCCTATGGAAACGGCAAGTTCTTGACCGAGCTTGTCTTGTACATCAACTATAACGACGTGAGCGCCGTGGTTCGTGAATAACTTGACGGACTCAGCTCCAATCCCGCTTGCTCCGCCGGTGATGATTACGACTTTACCCTCCAATCTGCAAAGATTCAACCAATCATATTTGCATTATTATAAATTTATGTATACCCTTATATGGAAATGGTATGAAAGATATTGAGAAAAATTGCCTGCGTCCAGACATTGTTGAAGCCTTCCGAATGGTAGAGTTTACGAGAACTGATGTGCTGATGGTTATGCATGTGTATTATATGCATGAATGTGAAAAAGTCAACTCTATCGTGCCATGTGGGTTTCACTTTTTTTAATGGCTCAAGAATTGTTTTGACCGTCTGAACTGTGCACCAGTAATAATTATAATAATGTATTTAATTAGGCTTAGATTATGTGTTAATCTATTAAATTTACTAGATGTATTTGTTTACGTATTACGATCTGACTTTTAGTGGTCTCAAAGGTTCTGCAAATGTTCTTGTATTCTCAGATCCTTGTAAAATGGTAAGTCAACTAAAAAATTTGTGGGAATTATGTTCTTTATCAACATTCTCTATCTCTGGTTTATCTCTTTGTTGTTTTAATTAACTTTGAGAAAAAAAATCTTCTAAAACATATGAACTAATTTCTATTTGCTAAAGGGGTAACCGTGTTTTCACAACTTAACCATATGTTCAATTAACACTAAATATTATATTAACTCTCTGTTAAACATAATTGAATTGACGTATCAAAAATCCAAGTGAACAACCTTAGAATTTAAAAAGTGCATGAAATTAGTATAAGAAACTATAAGTAGGTTGTGTATTAACTGAAAAACCTTCAATAATTCATGTATGTTTTTAGCAAATGAAAATTTATTCATATATTTTAAAGATTTTTTCCTTAATCTTGTGTATTGCATTTGTTTATGCAGTTCTTTCCACTACGATTTGTTTTCCTTGCTCAAAATCTTTGCATCAGTTTTGCTTTCTCCGTCCAATACTTACTTTTTCTTATCATATTATTGTGATCAATAATCCTGAAGCAAATATTTATGTACATATCCGATAAATAAACCATATAAAGAGTTCTATTTAAATCCTCGACTAAAAGCACAAAAATCAGTTATTTTCCTTTCATGATAATATTTTCATTCAATTTCTTTCAAATACTTCTATCTCATAATCTAATTGAATAATATAAATAGTTAATAAAATTAGAAAACTGTTAAATTGAATAACAAATAATTTCATGCAATCTTCAATTTCCTCCTATTCAACAAAATGTTTTTAGATTCAATACCCCACCTAGCAGAATTGATGTAAAAGATCATTGGATAACATAAGAATTTAATGAAGATTTTGATTCTTTGAAATTCAATCACACTTCTAAATTCAATACCCCATCTTAGAAAACATACATAATACTACAAACAACAATTAGTGTAAGCATTGGATTATTAGAAATGATTTTGCTATGAATGGTGGATCATAATCAGGGATCATCCCACTACTCAAAAACAAAATTTGGGCAAATAAAATTTTGTTATCTGGTCTCATGAGCCTAATTAATAAAATTTTGTTATTTGCTCTCATGGGCCTAATTTACAATCAAATACAACCTCCACCATCAAGCCCTAACCTGATAATAACCCCTACCTAAATACTTGGGATCATTGCTTGTAAAACAGAAGAAAATTCAAACCAATTGTGATATTTCTTAACATTATTATCAAACCACTTTCTTTTCAATAGCTACAAGTGGCTTGTTAGGAATGTAATCAACACCTAAGAAATAATTCTTCAATTTTTATATGTAGCATCTTCAAGAAGATTTTTTATATATAGCATATTCAAGTCAAAAAGTTGAATATATACTTATTTTTTGAATAGCCAAGCATGTATGTACTGAGCTAGTATTTAACCGTATACAATTTCCACTGTTTTAGTTTATACGTTATACTGTTATAGTTCTCAGATTTGTAGAACACTGATATATAGCTAAGTATGACATTTAGTCAAGCTTTTTTGGGATTAACACGTCGAGAAGGATCGATGAGTAAGTCTAATCTCCTTCATCAAAAGTGAAGTTGAAGAATGTGGGTTGTGCTTTTAAGGTGAGGAAGAGATGAATAAATGCGAAAGAGTTATATTTTTTGTCTACAAAAATAAAGAATCACAAAAAGAAAGAAAAAAACAAAGATAACATTGCTTAATTTAGACGGTGACCTATGCATAAGGCAACTTATTAACTTTCATTATTGCAGACATCAAGAATATCAATGATAACACAAAATAGATCTCACTATTTCTAAGTCAATGGTTATTGCAAATAAAACAAAACTTTAGCAAAAAGATGATAAGCAAGAGTTCCTTTACAAGCTTTCTTTTATTGTTCACCCATGTTAGGATCGTAAGTTCTCAAATTAATATGGGATAATTTCACTTTTAACTTTTGTATGGTATCATTATTCATATTTATCTTTTTAAATGGACACTAAACTTTGACCTACGGTTTCAAAACACAATTTTTTTTGTTGAAGAAAATAATATAATATTTTATACATTGTATATTATTTCTTGTTAAGTTCGTGTACATGATTCATTTCAATTATTTTCGTATGTGTGCTAAATATTGGATTTTGAAGAAATTCTAATTTTTGCTACACACTAGTTTTATATTCAATATTTACAAATTAGATGAGAAATAAATCAATAATTATTGGAATTGTCATATTTAGTTTTTCAATATTTTTATACGTAATCTATATCTGCGGTCAAATCGATAAACCTAATAATCCGTATATTGTCTGATTCAAGCTTAATGAAAATATGTTAATTAAAAATATTATAAAACTCAGTTAAACTCCAAAACCACCATTGTCCGTCACTAAATACCGGTTGACCCTGTAAAACCTCAAAAATCTGATAAGATTTCTATTTTTGCAAAAAAAAGTTGAAATTTTTTTTTCCAAAATTTCTTTTTAAACGACCACATTCATAAAAGGTATGCACTACAAGTGCTTATTTTATACTTTTAGTGATTAATTAGAGACCATTTCTTTTCTCTTCCCTCATAATGACAATTCAAAATCAAAGTTATTGTAGTGCATCACTTTTCCTTACTGACATCGAACACTTTTGTTCGTGTTGTTTTCGTCTGGTTCGATGTTGATGTTGATGTTGGTATATAAGTTGACCCTTGTATTGTTTTATATGTATAGTGCCAAAGTGCATGTTTTTTCTTCGAACGACATGACTTACCTTTAACCAGATAGCTACTCTTCATGCTCAAAAGTATTTGATGTTGCCCTCAAATTGTATTTAATCATTCTCGCTTTGCTTTTCCATTTATTTATTTCTCTTTTTCTTTTTTCATGTATGAACCACCAAAGAAACGTCTGCATGTATTTAATTTACAGATTGTACGTAGATTTGCATGTATATAAATCACACCAGGTTACCTTTGTACAAAGTGTTGGCTTAAAGTATCCTTTTCTAAATTCCTTTTGTGAAATTTGAAAAAAATTAATATTCACGTACAAAACTATATAATATACTCTGTCACCCAAAGAAATGGTATACATAGATGTAGCAAATGTAAAAAAAAAACGAGTGTGACAGTCAATCATATAAAAAGATTGCTTACCGTTAACATTTGAAGTCTTTATACATATTTGCCACACAGTTACATATCTTTCGAAATTAAGTAAAGATTTTACAAAAACTCAAAAGATAAAACACACAAGGGAAGGGGATTACAAACACATACAACACATAAACTAAAGAGAGATTATTCAAGAAGCTTTTGCTTTCTTATAATAACAAAAGATCAAATTAATTATCTAATTAAACATTCATCCTCATTGGGGTGGTTTTGTTTTATTGAGCTTCCTGAATATATATTATCATCTCACTTTGACGAGGACTGGTTCAAGGGACTCCTTCCACAACTAGCCGGCTTTGGACTATTACCAACGACTCGAGGACTCATCTGACCATTCCTGAGTTCACCCACTCGTGGACTAAACACATGAGACAAACTCCTGTTATTGACAGGAGTTGAACTTGAACTTGTGACCTTAGGACTACTCGTGTGTCTAAACTCTCCTCTGCTTCGTGTAATAACCTCATCAAGAATCTCTGAGTCTCCTGGATACGAAGTTGTCGATCCAATCTCCGTTTCCTGCTGACAAGTTAAAGTGTAAAAAAAAAAGAATAGAAGAAACTAAAGTACATAAACAACAGAGTTATTAATTTACCGCTGCGAGATTGAAGGGTAAAGCTGGAGCTTCTTCATACTCTGCTGCGTCCAAGTCTTGAAGATGAGCTCCTTTGAAGAATCTAGGGAGGATGTATTGTCTTACAGGAATCAAGAACATGATCATTAAAGGGAACATGACTCCTGCTATTGGGATCCATGTGAGGCCAAAGCAGATTAACAGATAAACCGTTTGGAAAATAGTGAACATTGCAATCGTCTTGAAAGGAACCGTCTCAACGAACGTTGCGTGGTAATCTTCAAGAACCCTGCAAACATAAAAACGAGTAATGAAAAAGCCTTCTTGAAGTTGAATGAGAAAGAAATAGATATGAGCTTTTAGTTACTTGAAGCGACGACTTGGGGCGGTGAAGAGAAGTAAGATTCTCTCCCAGAATTGGTTTCCAGGTAAGCTCTCAATAGCCATGAATGCGAAGTAACCCCAGAGGACTGAGGTTGGGATCATTTTAAGGATAGGCATAGCAGCAACGCATCCTCCTACCATTGTGGACTGAAGGAAGTTGCTTACACGCTGCTCTTTGACTTCAACTGGTAACAAATCATCAATCTCTTTCTCTATATCGAACAGAGTTTCATCAACTGGAGCGTTGAGGTTTCCGGTGAATGTAGTTGTTTGTATTGTGGATTCTTTCAGTTCTTTTAATCCCTGAAAGTGGATAGAAACTATTCTTAGCAACTCCTTGTTCTTAATTGGAAGGGACATATAAGATGGGAGATAGTCTTACCTGAGGTTGCTGGTATACTAATGGTGTCTGCATGTAATGGTAAGCTTCTTGCATATTGTTATAGAGTTGTCCCAAACTAGCATTCGTTTTGATGCTTTTTCGTGCTGTTGCAACCAGTCTGTTACGAAGCAACTGCAAAGAGAGAGAGATTGTCATTGAAAATCCTGAAAGATAAAAGACTTTGGTAAAGAGTGAGGTTACCTGATACTTAAGAGTTGCTAAGCTTTTGGTATGCATTGGAGACTGAGGAATAACACCATTTGATGGAGGGACTCCAAGTAAACCACACATCAAGGTCTGCATCGATTATTATGACCAGTAAGCCCCAAAGAGAAATATTCAGATATGTAAAATCTTTTTCTTCTCCAGATCTTCTTACCAGAAACCCAAGAAGAAGCAAATCATAGTGGTAAGAAGAAGGTTTTCTCAAGTTGAATTCTTTCTGCTGAGCAAGCTGTGAAGCTACGCTATGATCAAAGTAGTAAAGCACAGCAATCATCGATGCTGGAATGAAAGCTCCAATAATGTAGACGACTGGAACATCAAGCATCTCCTTTGCTACGGTCCAGTTTCCATAAGCACCAGGGGACCAAGGATTTGGGCTAAGAAGTCTCCGAGGGATTCCTTTAGGAACGTCTCCTGCTGGAATGTAGGAGACACCGGTCCACACTAGCACCATGAGTGGTACACCATAGTCAGCTATTAAGCTTCTGAGCCAGCCTGTCTCAACCAAGAGAAGCAAAAACTGAGTCAGTACATGTGTGTTCGACGAATATAGAGAATGCTCTGTTATTTGACATACCAGTACCGTACCGCCATGATCTGGCTTTTCTGCTTTTCAGACCAGTTAGAAGAAGGCCAAAGGAGAGAACCAGAGCGAACATCCCATTAGCAAACCTCCAGGAAGGTAGGAACTCCATGAGTTTTTGGTTCTCCCGTTCAGGAATGCGAAATTCATCCACTAGCCCCTGGGATAATCAAATCATGCGTTAGAGATGAAAGCCTACATTAAGGAAATGTTGGTGAAAAGAAGGTTTCTATACTTTGATGGCTTGTTGCATGAAGAGCATAGCAATAAGTAGTCCAAACAGTTCACCAGCAACACGGGTGAACCTATTGATGATGGAACAAGCTCCACATATAGCCATCACAAACAGCATCAAAGCAGTCCAAACACAAACCCTACACACATTAAGACAATGTTGTCAAAGACATGAATGATTACTCTCTTAACTCACAAGGAGAAGTAACTTACCATCCAGACCAGGCCAAGAAGAGGTCTCGTCCAAGTTCAGGTCTGGCCTTTGCGAAGTTAAACATGAAGGTGTACATGATGACAGTAGGCTCAGCAACACCGAGTATAAGAAGTGGCTGACCTCCGATAACAGAGTGAATGATGCCGCAAATGGCGGTGGATGCTAAGGTCTGAACAGCTGTGAGAACTCCATCTGGGCAAAGATTTCAAAATCAAATCTTTGATAGTGGAGGAATTAATAAAGGTGGAAACTTAAATGGAGAATGTTTATAGTTACCAGTGTTTCGTTCGAGTTGTTCACCGAAAGAGATGACAGGAATGGCAGAGGCGAAGAATATGTAAGTGGTGGGAGCCAGAATCCTATTAAAGCTTAGAATCAGTGATGAAATGTTGATATAATAAAACAAAAAGGGTATAAACAGTGGAATATTCATTTGTTATTACCTAAAGCCAGCTTTGAATCCACTGGTCCAGTCTTGCTTATAGCACATTAGTCTGCCTTTAAGATCATTTTTGATTCCTTCAAACGGCACAAATGTCTCTTCCATACTATTTGCTCTCTGTTTCGTTCAGTCAATTCGTCAAACACTTGGAGTTCTCTCTCTCTCTCCGAGAAGAAGAGAAAAAAGATTGGATTGAACTCAAACCCGATTTAAGGGGGGACACAACTCATAAACTACTTCAAACCCGACAAACCCATTTCGAAGAACATGTCTTAGTTCAAGGTTAGAGAAGAGCAGGAGTGAAAAATGCAGGAGAACCCAATAAGTATGGAGTTTGTGAGGAGAAGAAGAAGATCGAATCTGGATGAAGAAGAAGAAGAAAGTGGGAAACAGTGCATGGAATGGAGAGAAAATCAAATAAATGGAAAGAGAGGGAAGCAATGTGTGTTTGTTTTTGATTTGGATGAGAAGAAGAAAAAGGTGGTGACTGAGTCGTTTGATTACAAGAAGCTGTGCAATGGAAGATGAGACACCAAGGAAATCTCCCCTTTTTATAAGCTACTACTACTGCAAACCAAATTAAAAATAAAAAATTACTATTATAAAACATGTATACATATAAAACAAAATAATAACAAAAAAAAAAAATTCAAAAGAACTAAATTATGCTACTTTTATCATCATCATCATCATCATCATCATCAAAGGTTAATGCATCTGTCTATAATTTCAAAAATAAATTCACATAAGAAATTGTCAAAGTGTAATAATGTCCCTTCTTTAACGAGAAATAGTGATGCTTTTAATTTTGATAATAACCTTAAAGTATTTTAGACTTTATATATATAGTTTATAAAATCCACCATGAAATACTAAAATGCTGAATACTCATACTGAGACACGGATACAATTACGTGGATTACTAAAGTACGTGAAAATAGGGAATGGTGAGTAGACTGACATGCATCCTTTTGGACTTGCTTGTTTTGGCTGTCTCAGTCTGTCAAATGTCCCAAGTTATATACCTTTTCTTGTTATTATCTTGTTTACTCCTTAGGGCATGTTTATTGGTGGTCTCGTAGCGTTGTCCCTTAGCGGGAAAGTCTATTATCTTTTAACTAAAATCGCTAAGGGACATCCCTAAAGTTTCTTATTTAAGGGACGTTCCTTAGCGTTTTTAGTTAAAAGTTAAGGAACTTTCCCGCTAATGGACAATTCTAAGGGACCACCAATAAAGGTGCCCTTATCTGTCCTCTAATCCTTTTGATAATCATCTGCTCAACTTGCATCTTTAAAATCTTATTTGTTCAATCGATATGCCCTTATCTTCATATTTTCATTTTATCAATTACTAATAACTTCATTAGTATATGTGCTCGCTCATGAGAATCAAGGTTCTCCCAAGGTTATTTAGTACTTTCTTTTGTTTGATTCGAGATCAACTAAAAAAACTTCAAATATCCTTTGATATAAAATTAGGTCTTAATAGGAGAAAATGACACTTTTAACTAGATATGATAAAATAGTAGTTGTTGTAATCTCTAGATATTATGCATATATATTTTATATTTATATTCACTCAGTGATGTGGCAATAGTAAGAACTCAACCAAACACACCCAAGCATCTAAAGAACTAAGAAGCAAACTTGACCTAACTATCCCATCCCGATTGGTTTTAAATTAATTAGTTTTAATCTTTTAAACCTTTTTGTCGCCTTATAGCTTTTCACTAAATTTTATTAATTATAAATACTTGTTAGGATATGGAATTAATTCAGATACAGTATGTTTAAAGGTTGTCTTTCAGATGTTTGGCTTCGGTTTCGCACGCATAGCTTAACTTGGCTCCTTTAAAACATGACCCATAAGAGACTTAAGATTAATTAGATTAGTAAAAGCCACTTAACTAATAAACACCAAATATTATACGTAAAAAAATGCATGGCAACTCTTCTCCACTGGTCTTAGATTTTCGGTGTGCTTTGCTGGAATTTTTGAAATATTTGATCGTGTGTCCCACCAAAAGTGTATTTTGTAGTTATGAAAAGTCATGTATTTGTATTTTGTAGAGCTTGTAATTGTTATATTTATGTCTTACATGTGTAAATAGGTAATACAGATGTTTGAGAAAAAATATTATATATGTGGCTACATATGCTCTTGTGTGATGTGTTGTACATGTGCTTACACATATATAATGAATGTGTAATATATTAATTGGAAAGAGAGGGAATGACCCATGTGCCATGATAACTCGACGAAATCTCACAGCCACAATACAATAGTGAGCCTTTCTCCGAATACCTTCCACTATTATTTTATCATTCGAGTGGTAGAAGTTTAGTATAAATAAAGCTTTGGACATGACTCATATATATTTATATTAATTTATCATGTATATCCAGGATGTTTGATACTGATGTTCGTTAAACAATTTAAGCTCTTTTCTGTTTTTCTTTTTAACTGAGCTCTGTTTTTAAACGAATATAATAAATCAGTAAGTTTACAATTATAGTTTAAACAGATTCGAGCAAGTCAAATACATTTTTAAAATTTTAAATTCAGTTTGGCTTAAGAAATTTTACTATGTAAAGTTAACAATATGTGATGATAATATGTTTAAATTAATTATCATGTAAACGAGAACTATCATCGACAGCCTACCATATTCCAAATGACGTTGTAATCTACGTGATTTTATCACATTTTTCTCTCCTAAAGTATATACTTTGTATCGGGACCTTTCCCCGTGGGTCACGTACGTACCTTAATTATTCAAATATTTTCAGAGGATAACAAAGTATTGTTTTATTTTTCTGCTAAAACACAAAAGTATTGTTAAACAATTAGAAACAATGCAATTCGTGTAGTTGTTTCGTTGAATCAGTTATTGTATATGGGTACATAAAAATAAAAATAAACAAGTATTGTGCCAATCAAGACGTCACTGATAATTGATCATATGTTTTTTGTTCTATTTGTTTCACTTCATTCATCTAATTCTCCAATATGATCAAACTAAGAACGCAGCTGTCAACGTTATATATATATATATATATATATATATATATATACTTTTAGAAGTTTTTTTTTTTTGATCAAATATACTTTTAGAAGTTTTTTTTTTTTTTGATCAAATATACTTTTAGAAGTTTATATTGCACATTGATTGGGAATTTCGTGGCGATAACTTGGTCGGTACGAGATCAAAACAAGTTGAAACTACCATCAGCTTTAAACAAAGTGGTAATTATGTATGTGGGTTACAACAACCCTAGAAGAAACCATTACAGATATGTCCTGATCAATACTACAATATATAATGTTTTACTTAGAGAGGCTAAGCAATTTTAGGAGAAAAACAACAACATTAACAACGTATATAATTTGGGGAAAACATTAAGACATATCTATTAAAGCAGAACAACTGAAGTGAGGAAAGACAAAGAGCAACTGTGAGCAGCTGTGTGTACAGAGCCAAAACATATGATGGGTCCATAACAGGCCGAACCTCAACTTCTAATTTTCTGGATATAGCTATATGATTATTCACATAATAACAAAATTAGAAACATCTCTCAAGGTGGTAGGCCCTTTTCCTTCATCATTTCCCCCCTTTGACACCCTTCACTTCAACAACAATTCACATTATTATGACCATTGATGAATTATAAACCGAACATTAGGGCTGGGCATTTTATCCGTTATATTTGATTCGATCCGTTATTCGTTTCGATTCGATCCGAAAATTCCGGATATCCGTAAACTTTCGAATCAAAGCAAATACTAAAATTCAATATCCGTTAAAATCGAAGCAAATCACAAATATTAAAATTTTGGAAAGCGGATATCCGATCCGATCCGTAAATATATAAAT